TAAACACCATCTACTTACAACCCATTTCCACTGCAGAAAAACTACCACAAGTCACAAGATCTCTGAGACCCCATGGTCCCAAGGAAGATGCATCTCTTTCCGAGTTTCAGGAGGAGCTGATCCAACTCGCCTCGCAGCTCAATGGAGACCACGTTCTTAACGCGTACCCTCACATTGGAAAGGGCATGACAGTTGGTCAAGCTAATCGCTATGCCGAGGATGCAGTCGCAAGGTTCTTGGAAGCTGGAAAGACGGCGCTGAGAGCTGGGGCGAATGAATCCGCCATTGTTATCATGAGGCCTGCTCTCACTAGCAGGGCTGCTGCTGGAGATACCAACCCTTCTGTTCAGATTATTTAAACATTAATGCCACTTTTATAATACTTTGTCACTAATTAATACTGCTTTACGTTGGATAACTGTATAGGGAAAACGCTAAGCCATGTTATCTCTGTTTGTAATGATATGGAGGCACTTCATGTCTAAGTGGGAAAGGCCCTATCATTTGTTATCTGTAATATATATACGGCTCATTTTCTCTCATATATTGCAATTAAAACTTGCTATTTACAAATTTGACCACCCTCTTTCATTCTTTTTTCAAATTCTCACTCAATTATCAAAATTCACGGCAGAATTCCGACAACTCCGACCCATATTTTTCATTTTTATCAAATTCTCAATAGTTTGATTGTGGCATGCATGTATACGTTGGTTTGATAGTTCAAAATAATCACCTCGGTGGTTAATTTATGAATATTAATGTTTTGGGTGGTCTATATGTAATTATCCATTTTTTGTTAATCTGGATTATAAGGTTGAGTTTAGCTTGAAGATTAGCATATATATTTGATGGACCTTTGGTTCGGGTTGAGTTTAGATTGTACTCAATGAGCCAACTAGCCACCCCGGGCTTGGTTCATATCAAAAATATATGCAAATGTGTATTTATTATGTATACTTTCAGATTTGTGCAATGAATCTAGTAGTATGATTGCACATGCATCAAGTGCATGCGAATGAAATTATATATATATATATATATATATATATATTATTAAGTTTTAAAGTATTTTATTTAATAATTTAGAATAAGTATCAGTATTTAGTTTAAATATATAATTAATAAAATATAAGTAGTATAATCTATAATGAAAAACACAATTTTTTTTGTAATGAAAGCGAGCAATTGCAACTCTACTGAAAAAAATAAGCATAAATAAATACTTGGTTCAAGAAAATTTTATTTATGAAATTTGAATAAATATATTTTTTTTTATGGAATGTGATATATTCTTTTAATTTTATTAAATTATTTATTTAATTATAATTAATTGACTGACAAGTATTTAGTTGTCAATTTTATTTTTCATAGAAAGGGCTTTGTTTCCTTAATCAAAAATATATTTATGTGCATTTTTTTAATCTGATTTTTATAATTTTTAAATGTCTTGGTAAGTTTTCTTGGTTTTTTTTTATTTTTTTTTATTTTTTTTATATAATTTTCTTGGTCATTATGTAGTTGGATGTTGAGTCATGAGTGTGTGCCCCTTTTCACGCTGTGGGATATCATTCATATGGACTTAAATAGTAGAGTTGAACGCCAATGGGGAATATATGACTTGATTTCATTGATAAGGACTTGAGCAATTAAGGACTACTAAGGGTTTTCCTTATAGTGGGAAGAATTGCTTTATTAGGCTTACTACTAAGGGTTCTTCTTATTTTGGGAAGAAGTGCTTTATTAATCTCAATGATTGTAGGGCCATTGGATTGTCTTCTTGATCTTGGCCGAGATGAAACTAGGGAGCCTTGGTCATTCTCTGTCTTGTTAAGTGTAGTTAACTCTTAGGAATGATTAGGAATGGTGAAGGAGTATAGGGGGCGTTCTGAACACAAGAATTTGAATCGGCTCCACTAGCTATATGACTATTTATAGACTAACTTATAATGAATTTGAACCATTATGATCAAGGATGTACATTAGTAGTTGGGCTTATTAAAGACAAGATGCTGCTCATATCATATGTATATGTGGTTTGTCGAAGTCCAGTCGGTTCTATAAATGAAGTGATTATGACAAGAGTGTTCTAACCAGATAATTTGCCAAAACAGGCTCGACTATATTACAATCATAACTATATCGATATTGCTCATAAATATACTTACTTGGGCGGTGTATCATAGGATATACATGATATGACACAAAGCTCCTTGTTAACAAAGGTTAACTTGAATTTGTCCCATTTGTCAAACATTCACCTTAGGTCTATAAGGTTCTTTTGGATGAAGCAACTCATGGATACTAATAAATATTTTTATGTCAGGTTAGCTTAAATAGACTAGATGAGACCATGATAGCTTGAGATAATAAAACCATGAGATTTTAATCTATTTGTCATTATTGCCCCCACTAATTTCTTTAAGCTCAAAATAATAATTTTATAATCTAAAAATTTAAATCTACCACTACTACATACTAGGCCTGAACACTTAGCTTGCTTAATGACTAACTATAATCGAAAGTACTCTCCCATTATCAAAAGCGTAATTAATAATACAGACTTTTGCCTTTAAAAATATCAAGCCTTTGATCTCAAAGTTTTCATTGTTTGGATGGTGGCTTATCTTTTATTTCATTTACCTTGTAAAAATTTGACTTGAAACACACGTAAAACTCTCTCACCACCGCATTAAATGGTGGGTTAAACTAGGGAAAGGTAAAGGATGGCTGATAGAATCTTAAGGAAATGATTTGAGTGCATTTAAATTAATTTAAGCATCAACCATTAGAATCTGGAGATTTCATGGACCAATCTCATACCATTTTTTTGCAATAACAAAAATGTTAACATGAATAGAATGTATTGGTATGGGATTTTAGTTAATGATTGTGCAATAGCAAAAATGTTAACATGAATTGATGCGTAGAATGTATTGGTATGGGATTTTAGTTAATGATTGAAAGTGCTCCTTGGCATAGTTGTAGTTTGTAAAGATTGTTGGATTTGAACAAGGAAATTGCCTCAGTGAGGATCCATGTTCACTTGATCCTAGGGCCATTAATCAACCATCTAGAGGGTTGGAATGATTTGGAGAAAACCTTAGAACAAATCTAAAAGACAATGGCCCCTCATTTGAGCTAGGCTTAAGATCACACGCGTTGGACTGGTTTAGGGTTTAGGCCATTCTAGGTCGGTTGAGTTTGCTTGGGAGGGTCATTTTTGACCTAAAATAATGACTAATAAAATTTGGTTTAAATTGAGATTGCTTTTGATAATTAAAAATCATAATGACTAAAGTTTTTTAGTGTGTTAAGGGTATATTGAGCTTATATTGGGTTAAAATGTTGGATTTAGTTTATGTAGCTATATTAGGCCATTAGAAAACATTTATCTATATTTTCTTGAGTTTGGAATAGTTGGATTGTTTTGACTCGATTATATTGAAGAAGCCTAAACTCTCACCCATTAAGTTATTGTTTGCTTTGGCCTAGTGGCCTCATGGTTTTAACCCATGATGTAACTTACCAAGAGGTCACCCATCCCAAGAGTGCCCCAACATGAACACACTTAACTTTGGAGTTTTTTTCCAAATCTCCAATCATTACACCAAAATGCACGTCATTGTTTAAGAGTTCAGCTTCATAGTATTTAAGGAGTTCGACACAGACTTTAATGGGTCTCATTGGGTCATGGTATCGAATGAGCTTGAATTGGACTTCTAAGTCCTTTATGGAACCTTAAGACTTTCTAAGTCTTTTGGAATCATCCCTTTAAGAGTGAAAACTAGTTTGGTTCTAAGAACCTTAATGGGTTAACTTGTGTCATTTAGTGAAAATAGATGAACGAAATCCCCAATTAGGTCCAAACAAAATTTAAAGCACCTTTGAGACTCAACAAAATAATTTAGAACCGATATTAAGCTTTAATAGATTGGTTTGGTTTAATAAGACCATTAATTCTTAAATAATTCAATTGCTTTCATTTGATTGTCCAAGGGTCATTTGATTTAGATGTGGGTCAAGTTTGATTTTTAATGTCATACAATCATATTAAGTTCACAAAAATTAAATTACTTGAATAGATGAGTAGTTGGCTCCATTAGGTCGTTATGGGTTTACTTAGTCAAATTGAGTTGACTAAGTGATTAGGCACAAGAGTTAATCAAGAAGTGGTCCAAGAGCCTCTAGGATGAATCCTAACACCTTGGAACCAGGTTGAATTGGGCAACTCTATGGATCTATATGGCTTGGATAAAATTATATTAGGTTTTAGATTAACTCAGAATTAGTATAATATTCTATACTTATCAAGGATGAGTAATAAAGAGTAAAAAGAGTACTAGGAAAGCTCTAAGAAACTCTCAAGTTAAATCATTGGTTTTTATAAGGTATCATCTACGCCGATGTTTATTAGGTTTGATTCTCTAAGGTTTAATTAATGTTATAATCAATAAGAAATCACATATATGAACTTATTATGGATTTCTATACTATGAATCTATCTTAAAGGCTAGGGCGAGGCTAAGAAAAGTACTTTCAAACTCATTCAAAATGATGTCACAGTTATTAGGTTAATTTATGCCTTTATCAATACCAACAATTAACGTAAGTCAAAAACTCGACTAAAAATATTTAAGATATTAATAATATTATGCATAAGAGCAGAATCGGCTTTGCCACCCATCAAAAAGTCATCCACATAAAATACACGAAAAACATAAAAGATCTCACGATGCATATTTGTGGTAAGAGCATCTAAAATAAAAGACCACCGTTTACCACCGATCAAAAAGTCATCCACATAAAATACACGAAAACATAAAAGATCTCAAGATGCATATTTGTGGTAAGAGCATCTAAAATAAAAGAGAGCATCCATCACAATAGTGAATAAATAATGTGAAAGAGGACATGCCTACCACAAATAAAAAGTAGAAGAAAAATAGCTATTTAATTTACCATTAATGACAACATAGAAGTAAACATTAGAAGTAGAAGCTTGAACCCATTTAAGAAAATACTTCTTCTATTGCTGCGGCGCTCGAGGGAGATATCCTTCAAGCAGTGAACGGGCGTTCGAGTGGGGAAGAGAGAAATCGATCGGCGGTTTTGTACTTCGGAGGTTGCAGAAGAAGTGCTGAAGGGCAAATCATCGATCTGGGAAGAAAGTTAAAGATGAATGATGGAGCGAGCAGCAGCAGAAGAGGAGGATGTGGGGAGACGGTTTTGATTGATCACGGCCAGCTAAGAAGCTCATGCGGGTACTGTAGATCCTCCTCCTACACCAGCATCTCTCATGGTCAGTCGGATCTTCGAAATATCTCTTTTCTTTATTGTTTTCTTCTGCTTTTCTATACTTCATCGATTTGAAGAGGTTGCGAGCGTGCTGATTTACCCAGTTTGTTCCTCTGTCTGGTTGGTTGGTTGCGAATGATATTTTGGTCGGGTTTTGAAGGAGAGATTATGTTTTTTATCGATATTAGTGGGGGTTATTTGGTTTTGCTTCATTTGGATGAGAGAGGGCATCACCAACATTTTATTTTACGTTTTTTTTTTCTGGCTTCCGTAGAATTTCTTATCTTCATCTGCAAAGCATCATAGCAAACCAGCAAACTACCAATAACTTTATGAATCCTAGTCTGCTGAGTCATGCATGGTTTCTAACTTGTTTTACACTATAAAGCTAAATTGAATTTTAGTGCCATGTTTTGATAATGCAACTTGATAACATATTAGTTACTTGTTTAATTAATTTACCGACAAATGATTGGACAGGATTGTGGGCTCAGAGCATTAAAGCAAATGACTATCAAGGTATGTGCTTTTGCAACTGTTGAATGTTTTCTGTATGCTATGCTATGACTAGAGGGTAGATTTTGTTGCAATTTCCTAAATTAGTGCAGTCAACAAAGCCTCCAAATCATAGAAGATCAGGCTCTTTTCATCCAAGCATGGTGGCAACATTGAAAAGTGATGCCTTTTAATGAACTGCTTTCAGTTTTTCATTTTGTTTGCAAATTAGCATGGTAATATAACTTTCCCATTAAAAATGGCTTGATTGACTATTCTAGATCATTTCATCCTTTTTGTCTGTCATCATTGTCTAAAATAATTCTCAAAGAAATTTTTATGAATAATTTATTGATAGAGATTTTACATGACTCAGTTTATTTTGATTGTTCTTTGGGATCAATTGGATTGCTTTTGCAAGCATTCAATGAGCAATAAAAATAAGATCTAACCAATGGAGTGCATACTTACCAAGCCTTAAATGCTGCCTGTTTAATTGCCATTCTAAACTTTATTATGTAGGCTTAGCTTTGCTTTTGCTAAAAACGACAAACCTCATACAATGGATTAACAAGTTCTAAATAGAAAAACATGAATTGTTGCGCATAAAAGTTCTAAATATAATTTAATTTATACTATTAGAAGATTTTATAGATAATCATATATTTGTTATGGATATATTTTCATTTTTTATTCACAAAATTTCAAATCATAGATTTTGTTAGATAATTCTAGAAATTTGGTCAATTGAGCCTATTTAAGATTTTGAGGCTGGATTCCATCCAAGCCCTTAAGAGCTACTTGTTCCTAGATGGCCGTCTGGTCATCAACAATATTAGAGTAAAAATTTTGTTGGAATGGGGTGAGCAAAAATATAGTTAATATCACTAAGGAAACCATCGACAACTTCTTGAGAAAATGAAAAAAAAAGTTATATTGATTCTATTCATTAATAGGTGATATGAAATTCTAGCCTACTTTTAAAAATTGTGCTTATCCCTGATATTTGGAAATGTTGTGTTATGGTCTTATTGAAAAATAGACAACACTCTTAAGGTATTTTTTCTGCTCTAAATAAAATGCATAAATGTATGCTTTTAGGTTCAATTGTGATATTTATTATAAATTGGAGAGTTATTATGGGGGCTATTGAAAGAGTTTTGTTAATCAATATTTTCAATAGAATTTTGACGCCTAAAATGTCCCAATGATTACAATATGATTACATTATGAATTAACATAAATTGCATATTTTCTTATAGTAGCTGTCTATATGTTTACAAAAGACACAGAAAGTGAGGTGCTTTAGCTTAGAATTGCTGTATATAATAGTTTTAATTGATGATATATCTATTAAATTGCTGAAAAATTAGAATAATAGAGAAAACATTTAGAAGATTGTTGATTTAGAATTGGTATATCAAAGATGTAGCGTATGATATGCAACTTTAATGGGTGTAATGAATGATGAAGTGATAACTATGTACATGTTTAAAATTGCACAATTGGATACTGAAACATTCTATGTTCGTAAGGGAAGGCATAAGCATCAAAGAGTTTTGAGACGTAAGCCTCAAATTTAAAAATTGTGTAAATTAATAAATTTGTATAAACTATAAAGTATGAATTAAGAAATAATATATTAAGATTCTAACTTCTCAACACAATAAAAAATAATATAATAACATTCTAACTATGTAAAAAATTAATAAGTTACATAAAATTGGAAGTAACATGTTAATATTCTGATATCAAATTATGAAAAAGATAAGTTATACAAATATTAAAGTATTAAAGTAAACTATGATTTTAAAATAATATACTAAAACATCAACATGTAATAATCAAAATAAGTATTACAATTATGCATAGATTTGTATAAAATGCATGGATTTGTATTAATTCTTGCATTATTTCTTTCCTATTTATCTGTGTTTTGTTTTTATTTCCTTTCTTATTTCTCTTTATTTTGTTTTTATTTCCTTTTCTATTTCTTTTTATTATGTTTTTTCTTACTTTCCTTGTAAGTGTCCTTGTAATTGGGTATATATACCCCCATTTCAATCAATAAAATTGAAGCTGCTCTATTCAGAAATTCAACATGGTATCAAAGCCACCTTTGCAGTTGCTAACCTCCCCTGCAGCTGTCGTCAGCCATCTCTGCAAGGTTTCAGAGCCGCCAACCTCCTCTTCAGCCACCTGTAGGTGCAGGTCCTCCCCGAGGCTTCCCTTCCCTATAGCAAGACCGTCTGTCACTGCAGGTCCTTCCCGACTTACTTGTGGTGGAGAATCCTGTCGGCTATCCCTGCAGTTTCCCTTTCTTGCTGCAAGACCAACTGTCCCTGCAGGTCCTCCCCAACCTCCTTGTGGTGGAGAACCTAGCCGACTATTTCTGTGGTGGAGAATCTCGCCGGCTGTCGTTGCATGTGCTCTCTACGACTTCCCTTCAAGGTTCCTCCGATTGCCCTAGATTTTTTTCCTGCAGCTTTCTTGTTGTTACCTGCAAGTTTATCTGCCATCGGTGACCCGCTGGAACCCGTCATTATCTTGAAATTCCAATATCTCCTTTGGCTCGGTCAGAATCATGGCAGACTTCTCTAACAGTGAACCAATTTCAAAAGAAGCCCTTGATGTCACTGAAGGTTCGACTTCAACTCATTCCCCTGCAGATAGGGCTGTAAAAAAGAGTTTTTCGCGAACAACTCCTGTTCGACTCGTTAAGCAGCTCGTGTTTGGCTCACTCGTTAAGCTTAACGAGCCGAACTCGAACAAATTTTTAAGCTAGAAATATAAATGAACCAAACATGAACAAATTTTTGTTCGCTCGTGTTCGGCTCGAATTTGCTAGAAAAAAAAATAAATTAATTAATAAATAAAAATATAAATATACTTGATATTCTGTGGTGTTATTGGTATTATTCCGTGGCGTAACACTGCAGAATAACCCCCACGTAACACTTGCTGTGTTGTCAGTGTTATTCCTCTATCCACGGTGTTATTGGTGTTATTTCGTGCCGCTGAATAACATCGTTGACACCAATAATATCGCGGAATAACACCGAGTAACACCCGCTGTGTTATCGGTATTATTCCGCCGTCTGCGGTGTTGTTGGTGTTATTCCACGCCGCAAAATAACGTTGATAACACCAATAATACCACAAAATAACATCGAGTAACACCAACAATGTTATCAGGTTCCACGCCGCGAAATAACGTTGATAACACCAATAATACCGCAAAATAACATCGAGTAACACCAACAATGTTATCAGTATTATGCCGCCGTTCGCGGTGTTATTCCGCGGTGTTATTGGAGTTATCAATGTTATTCCGCACTATTTGGGTGTTAGTCAGGTGTTTCTCGGGTGTTATCGTTGGGTTATTCCATAGTTTGCAGTATTATTGGAGCGATTTCGCGACATTTTATATTTTGCCAAGCCTATTTTGAATCGAACACGAGTCGAACACGAACAATAATATGTTATTCAAGCCGAACACGAACATATTGTTCACGAGCCTTTTCAAACACGAGCCAAATTGGAACGAGTTGAGGCTCAGCTCACTCAAGCTCGACTCGTTTATAGCATTATCTGCAGATCAGGGGACCAGAAACCAACTTGAACTTCTTCATCACAACTCATAAACTGAACTGCAACAACTTTCTCCAATGGTCCCAAGTGGCGTCTTTGTTCATCAAAGGATGCGAAAAATTCAGTCATCTCATAGATATGATCTGTGAACCTCCAAAGACTGACCCGTCTTATGCAGCTTAGGAAGTGAAGAACTCTATGGTAATGTAATGGCTGAACAACTCCATGGAAACATCAATCGACCATTCATATTTGATCCTCCCTTTCGCTAGCGCCCTCTGGACGACAGTCCGTGATACATAATCGGATGTAGAGGTAAAATAGGGATCAAAGACCATGACCCAATACTATAATGATATGGCGACACTATGGATGGAATGCGACTTGTATTAATACTCTTGGGATACTTTGGCTGACCTCTCTCCCTTCCAGAAGATTGTGGAAAAGGATCGTATGTTTCAATTCCTGACAGGTCTCAACAACGACCTTGACGAAGTTCGGGGCCATATTTTTGGTCGGGATCCCCTGCCTTCCGTCGCAGTACTTTCATAGAGATTCTCCGTGAAGAAAACTGGAGACTTGTCATGATCGACACTTCCATTCCTTCAATCAAATCATCCGTTTGATCTCTAATAGTGCTCAACCCTCTTCAATGCCACCTCAGGTAGGTCACCCTACTTCGGATTTCTGTCATAAACCCAACCACACTTGTGATAAGTGTTGGAAGGTCTATGGAAAACCGACGCACAAACCTTCGACTAAAATCTCTACTACAAAGGGACTTACTACAACATTAGAGTCTACCATAGTTCAGCCAGCTCCTACCCAAAACATTCCAGAATCCTTCGACACTGAAAAGTCAGATAGAACAATCGATCAATCTACTTGGATCTACTCAGTTCTCTGCTGGTCCACCGACCTCCCATGTCCGTCAAGGTACTGTTCCAATGACACATAACTTTTATCTCTTCTAGTCCATAGATCATTGATTCAAGTGCTATAGACCACATGATTGGATGCTCAGAAGCTTTCTCGATATAATATCCATGTTTTGGGAAAGATATGGTCAGAATTGCAGACGACTCCTGTAGTTCTATTGCTGGTAAATAGTCGGTTGTTTTAACTATCAGACTAACCTTGAATTTTATGTTACATGTTCCACCGTTGAAGTGTGACCTTTTATTTGTTAGTAATTTAGCGGATGACATTGATTGCATTGCTCATTTCTCTCCTGATGTTTGTGCTTTTTAGGATCGTCGCTTGGGGAGGATCATTGGAACTGCTAAGCAGGTAGCCGAGCTCTACTACTTCCAAGAGAATAATACGGAGCTCTAGAACACTCCACTCAGTAGTTGTAGCTTATCTCGAGTCACTGAATGTCCCATTTTGTTGTTGCATTATTATTTGAGTCATCCTAGTTTTCCATATTTAAA